GGGACAGGAAGCCAGACGTTAAGACTTATCGATCGAGCGCCCTAAGGCCACCCAACAGGGCATCTTCCCCCCAGGATGCAACCCTCAACATCCGCCTACCTTCTTGTTAGATCAACAACGTATATCACGGTTATGAAACGTGCCCAAACGTCTCTTAATTACTACTCACGCATTAAACCCGGGACCATTTGATTGTGAGTCGACTACGCTGACCACTCTGCCACAGACCACATCAAAATTATATTTAAACGATAGGCAGCAGCGTGCAAAATTGGGGCGATTTAACATTACGTTCTTGGACTAATGAGCAGTAGCCTCAATTATAAGTTAGATGGGTTGGTCTAGATTTGTACACTAATCAAATCAAATGTTTATTTAGGTAAAGTACATACATACAAGGGGTGATACAGATTTTGATGGATTTATAGATAGAGCTAGTACATACAATGCCTAAAGCCACTATTACGCAAAGCGTTTCGGGCAGGAAAAACACTAAAGACTAAAACTTAATACTAATTGAGATTAAAGTATAAAATGTGTTGAGAAAAATATAAAAATAAAAAAGGGGGAACATGGTAAGAAAATAGCAAAAATATAACTTGGTCACCAAACAGCATTGTTTAAAAATAACAGACATGGGTTGACATTATAGGGGTAAGGTAGGTTACAGGGAGTTAATTAGGTAGTGCTTAGTTTTTATCTTAAACTGGTTGAGAGAGGTACAGTCTTTAACATGGTTGGGAAGGTCATTCCACATTCTGGGTCCCTTGATTTGTAGAGCATTTCTAGTTTGACTAAGTCGTACTCTTGGAATATCAAAACTGTATTTGTTTCTGGTGTGGTGCTCATGGGTTATGTTACAACCTTCAATGAAGCTCTTAAGGTCAGGATTGGCATATATATATATATATATATATATATATATATATATATATATATATATATATATATATATATATATATAATACACATGAGAGAATGTGCAGGGACTTAATATCTAACATATTCAGAGATTTGAGTAGGGGTACCGAGTGATGTCTGGGGCTAGAGTTGGATATTGTCCTAACAGCAGCTTTGTGTTGAGTAATTAGAGGACGTAAATAATTTTGGGTAGTAGAACCCCAAGCACAAATACCATAGTTGAGATATGGATAGATAAGGGAATAATAGAGTGTCACCAGAGCAGGACGAGGTACATAATATCTGATCTTATAAAGAATGCCAACAGTTTTTGAAACTTTTTGTGATGTATTTAGAATGTATCCCTGGAAATTCAGTTTTTGGTCAATGAGAACACCAAGGAATTTGCCGTCTATTTTGTTACAAATTTGGGTGTTATTTATCCTGAGATTTATTTGATTTGAGGATTTATTGCCAAACAAAATATAGAAAGTTTTGTCAATGTTAAGGGTGAGTTTGTTGGCAGTTAGCCAGTGATGGACAGTTATTTAGCTCAGTATTCACTGTGACATTTAGGGCAAGGGGGTCAGGACTGGAATAAATAAAGGTTGTGTCGTCAGCAAATATAATTGGTTTGAGATGCTGGGAGGCATTTGGAAGGTCATGAATGTAGATGAGAAAGAGGAGGGGGCCAAGTATGCTGCCCTGAGGAACACCAATGTTGATGGGTAGGGTGGGAGAAATTGAATTATTCACAGAAACATACTGGACTAACATAATGACTAAGCAAATGGCCTTCAAATTAGACACCCTTTCCAAATCGTCATCGTGAACTTAGTAACCATGCAGAGGTTGATAGGCCTTCAAGTCCAATAGCAAAGCAACCCAATCGTGAGATCGGACTGCATAAAGTCGTAAGGTTAATGCACAACTGTACACCAAGGTAAACCTTAAATATATCAGGAGCCAACAATAAGAGCGGCGGCACAAGTTAAATTGAATATACTACTGTTAACTTTTATACTGAATATATTGGTTTGCTTTGATATGTTAACCTGAGGCATATATAGAGCTATACCACTGTCTCCACCAGTATTGTCCACACTAATGACATCTCACTAGTGGCCAATAATTGTGTTTTGCTCGCTAGATCACCTCCCCTCTACAGCTAGTTCATACACAGGACCATTAAGGTTAGTTCATAAACGGGACCATTATGGCTAGTTCATGCACGTACACATCCCCCAACACGCGCCATCAACACATCGGCTATTTGGACTATACAAGTACACTAGTATAAAACATAATGGTATGCATTCATGTATTTACTATGTGTATGCGCAGAATCGAGCTATTAACTCTTGGGCCCCGCCTTTCTAACCAATATTTTTCCTCTATTATATCTACTATACATATTTCTAACACACGCACACACGAATAATGCGTGTGTGATTGTCAATCGATCTAACTAGTTCATTGACAGTTGAGAGGCGGGATTTGAGAGGCAGTTGTAAGAGCCAAAGCTCAACTCCTGCAAGCACAACTAGGCGAGTACACATCTTGAGGAAGCAGCTGTCTAACTCCTAGGTACCTATTTACTGCTAGGTGAACAGATAAATCAGGATGAAAGAAACGTTGCCCATTTTTTTCGCCTCGGCCGGGAATCGAACCCGGGTTCTTAGGACTACGACCCCCAGGCGCTGTATGTGTCATGGGAATCTCCACCAACGCTCCATTGGTGGAGAATGGTGGAGTATCTATTTATCCAACTCCATTACCCACACCAAAGTGCTGGTGGTGGGATAGTCACAAATTCTGGTTGTGGAATCAGCTGGTCCTCCAGACTTCCTTGGTGAACCATGTTGAGTCCGTGGTTGAATAGCTTTTGTCCTGTCGTGAAGTGACGTGAGTTGAGGCACACGTGAGGTGTTCACCAGGACACTGCTGAACACCCCCACACTGCCTAAACTGATATTCTCGCTACACGTGATTCCAGTTTTCTCAATCATTTCAGACCAAAATGGCCCGAGATACTTTGAGCACTGTAACCACTACATACACCCAGAAATACTGCAAGAGATATTCCTGTGCTGTGTTCAGAGTCTGCTAGTGCAGGGAAAATAGAACAGATTCGCATTTCATGATCTCTCATATTCCCACTAAACTGTGCATTAGGCCGACCATACATGAAGAATTAAACAACGTAGAACACTCATTCAGCATGGTAGGCCTAGTTGTTACAGCATGGTAGGCCTAGTTACAGCATGGTAGGCCTAGTTAGTCTCTTTGGTAGGCCTAGTTATTAGTCTCCTTGATATAATTTACTCAGCCCTTGACAAAAATGAGTTTCCAATTGGACTCTTCATTGACCTGAGAAAGGCCTTTGATACTGTTAATCACGATTACCTCTTATGTAAACTCCATCATTATGGAATCCGAGGCCATGCACTGGACTATATCCAATCCTATCTTAGTGATAGACACCAATGTGTAGCCATCAATAATATAATCTCTCCCATTCTACCAATAACCGTTGGAGTGCCACAGGGCAGCATCTTGGGACCCCTACTATTTCTTATATACATTAATTATCTGCCTAATGTCTCTAACATTCTGAAACCTATTTTGTTTGCTGATGATACTACTCTCATTTACTCCAACCCCAACCCACAGACACTAAATGATGTTGTTAATAATGAACTAAAAAAAGTCCACTTATGGATGTCAACCAACAAACTAACACTTAATATAGAAAAGACCTACTACATCCTATTTGGAAGCAAATCTACAAATGCAATTCAGCTTCAGATTGACAATGTAAACATTAGCAATAAAAATGATGATAAGTTTCTTGGCATATTCCTAGACAAGAGACTCAACTTCAGTACCCACATACAACACATAACTAAGAAAGTCTCTAAAACAGTTGGTATACTCTCCAAAATCAGATATTATGTTCCTAACTCTGCTCTCATCTCTCTATATTATGCACTAATCTATCCCTATCTCAACTATGGTATCTGTGCATGGGGTTCAACCACTGCAAACCACCTCAAGTCCATCATCACCCAGCAAAAATCTGCTATCAGAATAATATCAAATTCTGCTTTCAGACAACACACAGCCCCCTTGTTTAACTCCCTAAACATGCTAAACATAATCTCACTCCACAAATTCTCTTGTGTCAACTACATTTACAAAACCCTGTTCTTAAATGCAAATCCTTGTCTAAAACTCTTCCTGGACAGATGTAATAGGACCCATTATCACCACACCAGAAATAAATATCTCTTTGATATCCCCAGAGTTAAACTTAATCTGTGTAAACACTCTATGCAAATAAAGGGACCCAGTTTATGGAACTCACTCCCTACTGAATTGAAAAGCTGTCCAACTTTTACATCATTCAAAATCAATACTAAAAAGTACCTAATTTCATCTTCATAGTTTTTCACTTTTTGCCTTAAAATTGCACTGTATCTATTGCTACCCAATCTCCCAACCTTTTTGTTCCCAATTTGAACAACTTTACCATTGAGATCATTGCTGTTTTCTTATATGTGCTGCCAATCTGTTGTATGGTGTTTATAAATCTTGTTTATCTGTATCTTTTGCTACCCAGTCTCCCAGTCTTTATGTACCCAATTTGAACATCTTTACCATTGTGATCATTGCTGTCTTATATGTGCTGTCAATCTGCTGTATGGTGTCTATTAATCTTGTTTAAATTACTAATCAAGCTGTCAATGTAATCAATCAGAGCTTTAATATAACAATGTGCTTTAATATACTTACTTATCTCTCTCATCTCATTTTTCTCTTGTAATGTATCTTTATCATTTATCAATTCTGATTGAAATTACCTACTTAAAATTATCTGCTAGATTAAGGACCTGCCCGAAACGCTGCGCGTACTAGTGGCTTTACAAGAATGTAATTACTGTACTATGCTATGTATTCTCACAAACCCAATGTACCTTCTTGTATATAAATAAATAAATAAATAAATAAATAAATAAATAAATAAAGTTGTTAGAGTATGGTAGGCCTAGTTACAGCATGGTAAGGAGCTATAGGGCAATGTAACACAACAAACTTACCTTCTCTCCACCACGACCGTTATCTATGTAACGCCATCATTTGCACCATCAATACAGCACCGTGAGTGGTAAGTAGTCACCGTCTCGCTCAGAATATAACGAACAAAACAGGAAGGAGATAGTGTAGGTGCGAGAGAGGGGAAGGAGAGCGATATCACCCTCACCCGCCGCCGGTGCACTACACACTGACGTTAACGCTCAGGAAATGGTCTCTCCCGATAGATACGGCGACGCTGCCGAAATGTCGCATATGTAATTACAGAACTGCCCTTTAATAACTCTCTCTATTGTATAACTCCACAGAGACAACACTTTAATTATCTGTTTTTTATTTTAAAATCAAAAGTTGCTGGTGTGTATAATAGTAGAATAATGATCATGGCGGTGATGAATCGTGCGTCAGACAGAGGCGTCTGGGTCTCGCCAGGTGGAAGTGTCGAACTGCTTGCAGTGGCTCATGTTTTGTTATGGTGGTGATGAGTAAGGTGCAGCCCGGCCTCCAAACAAAGACCTAAAAGTGATTCCATGCACCCGCCAAACCCCCTGTTTATGAATGAAAAACGGTTTACACACGTCTCGCCCAACCCGTCCTCGAATCAAGTCCATTACATCCAGCGGTCGACCCCACAGACGTAGTCATACATTTTACATGCTGTTCATTCAAAACAGGAATTTTCTCAAATATAAATTAATATTATAATATATTAGCATATTGTGAATATATAGACATAGGTTAGGTGTTTAGGTTCTGATGGTGATTATTTGTATTTGTAGTACGTGGGTGAAGCATTCATAGCGTTGTGGTTCGAACAAAATTCGTCAGTGAAGCACTGGTTCCGGAAGTGTTCGAACGAAATCAGTTGAGTCGTGTGTAAACCGTTTTTCATTCATAAACAGGGGGTTTGGCGGGTGCATGGAATCACTTTTGGGCCTTTGTTTGGAGGATGGACTGACTCACAACTGATTTCCTTCGAACACTTCCGGAACCAGTGCTTCACTGACAAATTTTGTTCGAACCACAACGCTATGAATCAGCCCGTCCTACAAACAAAGATCCAAAAGTGATTCCATTCACCCGCCAAACCCCCTGTTTATGAATGAAAAGCGGTTTACACACGACTCACAACTGCTGACGTTCGAACATATCTGGAACAAGTGCTTCACTGACGAATTTTGTTCGAATCACAACGCTATAAATGCCTCACCCACGTACTACAAATACAAATAATCGCCAACAGAACCTAAACACCTAACCTAACGTATCCTATGCCTATATATACACAATATGCTAATATATTATAATATTAATTTATACTTGAGAAAATTCCTGTTTTGAATGAACAGCATGTAAAATGTATGAATACATCTGTGGGGTCGACCGCTGGATGTAATGGACTTGAGTCGTATTGTGAGCTTAATTCGTCTCCACGTGCAGTACGCATCCTTCCACTAAATTTTTCAGTACTTGCCCCCCCCATTAACTTTCCAAGGCTTACTCCAAACTTTCCAGAACATTCCTCTAATTTCCCAGCACTTCCCCCTAACTTCCCAGCACTTCCCCTTAACTTTCCAGTACTTCTTCCTAACTTTCCAGGACATCCCTCTAATTTCCCAGGCCTCCCTCCCCCCTACAATTTCAGGACTTATCCTGACGGGAAGCCTCAGCGTGTGGCTTCTCCTCATTATCATGGGGAAGCTCGGGCCTTGACGTCCAGCCTTCCAGAATACAGTAGAGAAGATGCGGCTTGAAAGCTAATATGCAATTGGACTGTTTGGAGAGCACAGGTAGCGGGGAGAAGCTACAGTCAGAGCACTGGAACACAGGTAGTGGGGGGCAGATACAGCCAGAGCTCTGGCACACAGGTAGTAGGGGGCAGATAGTCAAAGCTCTGGCACACAGGTAGTGGGGGCAGATACAGTCAGAGCTCTGGAACACAGGTAGTGGGAGGCAAATACAGTCAGAGCTCTGGCACACAGGTAGTGGGGGGACAGATACAGCCAGAGCTCTGGAACACAGGTAGTGGGGAGCAGCTACTAGCAGTAGTATCTTCTACCGATGAACTCATTGGAGACAATTTTCCCTCCAGCCTCCCCTTCTTCACAGCATCAGGGGGGCCTCCTTCACCTACATCCCCCTTAACTGAACCTAAAATAACGCGCCTTTACCAAAGCATCGCTCACCTGAACCTGCCAACCTGAACCTCCCTCACTTCAGCTCCCCTGAACCTAAACAGGTTGATTGGGGGTAGAAGTAGCCTAAGCTACTCTATCCCTTTGAGATGTATTTTTTTTTTCTTGTCTCAATAAACTTACTTGAACTTGAACAGGTTGTCCAGCAGTCACGCGCGTCTACATCCCTTTGTTTCAGACAGAAATTTAATATTAAACAACAATCTTAACAAAAATCAACTAATATCATCAGTCGATTTTAATATTGATTTTGTCATCCTGATAACTGTGTTTCTCCACTGTAACTGACCTATTATCAACAACACTGTTTCTCCACACTAACTGATAAAGCCTATTATTAACAGTACTGTTTCTCCACTGTAACTGATAAAGCCTATTATCAACAACACTGTTTCTCCTCTGTAACTGATAAAGCCTATTATCAACAACACTGTGTTTCGCCCATTACACCCGATAAAGCCTAATTTAGTCACGTGTATGCATCTAAGATTTACCTGAGGGTGCACCCTCTCACTAGTGGCCTCGATGGTGACAGGAAGCCGGCGGCTTGTTAAAGTTCCCCCCATTTGTCCTGATTTTATCCAGCTGGAGTCTGAATTGTAGCAGTGTTGGCATTTACGGCTTCGGCAGGTAGGCGGTTCCATTTCCATCTCCTGTTTGTTGTCCTACATTGTGGCTTGTTGAACTTAAACCGTTGCTCCTTATTCGTGTTAGATCTGACCATTTGAAGATGTGTGGATCAATATTTATCATTTAGGTATAACAATTTTAGACTGGTTCAAGGGCTTATATTACTGGTGTGTGCCGGCTGGGAGCTACAGAGGACCAGTGTGGTCTCTGGTGCTGGGTCTGAGTGAGACCAGGCGCTGAGCACAGTCTTGGCTCGTCTCCAGCTCCAGCCTTGCTTATCACGCACTCTTATTCCAGCGTGTCAGCCGTATTACAGCACTACCATCTCCTGGGATGAGGGATCACGTGATGCGATGTTACCCTTTGGGTATCGATACCACCGTATAACCATTCCTACTGAACGGTCCTGGTCGTTACGACCCCTGCTGGCGCACTTATCGCTTAGCACCACAGAACGTCATAGATTTTTCCCTGTGTTGGCTGGCTCTTCGGGCGGACGGTGTCCGGCGCCGGCTGGGCCGAGAGGTGCAGGGGGCCGTGGGAGAGGCTGGCCGCCTTTTCTGCCGGAGGTCACTGCAGGACCCTTTTGCCCAGTTGGGTTTATGATGTTGTTGATCTTGACTTTGTTGCAACAATACTGTTTACTGGGGGGTGCATGTGACTTGCAGCGAGCGGGTGTTTGGTGAGGGCGGGTGAGGTAAGGGCGGGTGTGTGGTGAGGGCGGGTGTGTGGTGAGGGCGGGTGTGTGGTGAGGGCGGGTGTGTGGTGAGGGCGGGTGTGTGGTGTGGGCGGGTGTGAGGTGTGGGCGGGTGTGTGGTGAGGGCGGGTGTGTGGTGAGGGCGGGTGTGTGGTGAGGGCGGGTGTGTGGTGAGGGCGGGTGTGTGGTGAGGGCGGGTGTGTGGTGAGGGCGGGCGTGAGGTGTGGGCGGGTGTGTGGTGAGGGCGGGTGTGAGGTGTGGGCGGGTGTGAGGTGAGGGCAGGACCAGGTAAATGTCAGGGAGTCACCTGGTGGTGGAGGGTGGGCGGTGCTCCCCGCCCACCAGGTCGATGCTGGAGCGCCTCCACCCTCCGCTCTCTTCCACCAACCACAAATTCTCATATAATTTCTGAACTCATCAGAGGACATAAATGGCCTGGCAAGAATCAATGGCCGGGAGTCTGAGTGAGGCGACAGGTTCACCTCTCACCAGGAGAGACAATTAAGGTTCCCCCCACTCCAAACGCTTGATATTTCTCATAATACTGCCAGTCTATATATTCCCCAGACCTCTACACGACGCAGTTATGATCTGACTGCTACAAATTTCACACTGATGACCAAGATATTCAATGATATTCACAACTCCCCACGGTGACCTATGGAGAATGTCTCCATCAGTAGATGAAGGGTTTTAAACAATCCTGGTGTCAATACGACCTTCCAATATGAGTGACCTTGGTCAAACACACGAAGCTTGACCAGCTGTTCCGTAAGACCCTCCTAAGAGCCTTAAAGTGGTCAATGTCTTGAACTTTGATTCAGTTCCCGCGGCGCAGTGGTAAAGCACTCGCCCGGCGCAGTGGTGAGGCACCGCCACCAGAGGCACCCACAGAGGCACCGCCACCAGAGGCACCCACAGAGGCACCGCCACCAGAGGCACCGCCACCAGAGGCACCCACAGATGCACCGCCACCAGAGGCACCGCCACCAGAGGCACCCACAGAGGCACCGCCACCAGAGGCACCCACAGAGGCACCGCCACCAGAGGCACCGCCACCAAAGGCACCCACAGTGGCATCCACAGAGGCACCGCCACCAGAGGCACCCACAGAGGCACCGCCACCAGAGGCACCGCCACCAAAGGCACCCACAGTGGCACCCACAGAGGCACCGCCACCAGAGGCACCCACAGAGGCACCGCCACCAGAGGCACCACCACCACCTTACGTCAGAGTAAGGTAAGTGTGGCAGCGTTTCATCACGACGCTGTAATGAAGGCGAGACAGAATGGTCGCTTCTCTCCAGGACTCAGAGGCAGCCCGCGGCGGCGGCGGCGTCATCACGTGACCAGGTATAGCTATTGGCCGATATATTTGCATATAAATCACTCTGACATTATTACACGAGCTCACGGGCTCATTATATTATAGTTAGAGGCTCACTATAGCCCGTGCTACATGGACATTTCGTACCGAGTAGTTACATCTAAAACATCAACAACACCTTGACTCACATAGGTGGCTCCGTAAGTTTAGTTTAGCGTATTACAACGAATAATAAAATTCTTATAATTAATTATTATTTGTATTATTATTATCATAAATATAGTTAACGAAATCTTAAGTACAATCAAGACGTTGATTGCTGACAACATTTAAAGCGTCCGTATGAACTAACATCACGTGGTGCCTAATT